TGTTATTTGCAATATTTGGAACCTACTTATAAAATTTTTCTAACAATTCTCTTGGCTTTTATAACTAGATATTGGAAGAAAAAAAAGAAGAGAAAATTTGTGGTTTGTACAAGCGATAATTTGTGTGGACATCATTATATTCCGTAACATCTTTAGTTTTTTTCTTAATATCATAAGAAAATTCTATAAATTTTTGGCATATTTATTATACATAGGAGCACAATAGATCGAAAAATTTCAAGCCTAGAAAAAAATGATAAGAAAAATGAATTTTACGGTAAATATTAAGTGTTTTAAAAATAAGTAATTGGAGATCATAGAAATTGGAAACCAAAATGTGTTCCAAAAAGGAAAAGTGTAGAATTTAGATAACGAAAATAGTTACAAAAAAAAAGTTGTTTGGAAAAAGAAATAATTTGTAATTACATATTAAAAAATCAGATATAGAAAGAAATAGAAAGAAAATAATCAAATTTGGCAAATGAATTTGTTTTAACTACTTTAAATCCGGATTCTAAATATATTACTGATTTCATTACTGCGAGACGTATATTCGACAATCATCGCGTATCTTACTCTTCGCATTGTAAAATTAAATTATTATTTAACAATAAATACGTCACACACAAGAGAGAGAAGTGACGTTATCTTTAGTAACGTAAATAAATTCAATATATTTCTGTTCAAATAAACGAAAAGTGATGAATTTTAATTTAAATAAAACGAAATTAAGTGTAAAACTTGGAAGTGGAATTAATTTTAGAATTGGTAAATTAGTTTTTATTGATAGTGCAATGGAGACAAACTTATATTATAATTAAGAAGAAAAAAGTCGAAAGTGCAATAAAAATATCGTTAAATAATTTTTTAAGTATATAAAAAGTATCAAAAATATTATTAATTAAACTAATTAATACCGTGTCCGAATGTTCGATTTACTCACTATAAATTTATATATGCATATATATATAAATATAAATATAAATATATAAATATAAATATATATGTATATGTCATATATTGTAGATTAATTTTCATGATGGAATAAGGAAAAAGTAATAATGTAAGTGGCCAGTTTTATTTTATTTTATTTTGTAAATTAAAATCGATTATTTACGAACATGACAAATACAAACGGATCGTTGTGTGAACAATAAGTAAATGAATAAATAAAATATTCAAGATTAATTATAATTAATTAAAATGATTAAAGTTTTCCGACGTTATCTGAGTAATAATATTGTATTAAAATAAAAAATAACAATAACAAAAAAAAATATATATATAAAACGTCAGTTTTACGTTAAACGAAAGAAAAATTCGCATAATCCAAAGAAAACAAAGAATACAAACTTCGTTTCACTCGTCATATTAAATTTAATGACGTACATGAAGAAAGATTATGCACCAGAGAGGAATTTAAAATAATAATAATAATAATAATAATAATAATAATAATAATAATAATAATAATAATAATAGTAATAGTAGTAGTAATGATGATGGTAGTGTTATTATAGTAAGGAGGGGAGTCAAGTAGCTTGAACTTCATTCAACGTTAATTAAAGAAAAAGCTAATTATCNAATAATAATAATAATAATAATAATAATAATAATAATAATAATAATAATAATAATAGTAATAGTAGTAGTAATGATGATATAAAATAAAAATAAATAAAAACAAAAATAGGCTTTTTGGTGCCAAAACTGAGTCAGAATATTGTTTTATTCACTTTTCAGAATAATTTGATGTATTTTAATGTTCTTGTATGAATATTTGTGAAAGACGATATTTTTTATTAAGAAAGATCTTTTTTCCCCTTTCTGTTAATGAAGTTAAATTTGAATTTATTTTATCTATGAGTCAGTCTCCAACAACGAGTTGATTCAGTCAATAAAGGTAAACAAAACATTCGCGCATAAAGCACATGTTAGATGAATAGAACTACAGTTACTGGTTGTCAAATAATAGTCGATTGTTGAATTCAAATGTGAATTTACATTGAACATAGAGAACAATTATTTAGATGGTTGTTACACAGTATTCGAGGATTTTGAATACGCTTCTATTCTAATTACATGCATTTGTTAACTTTTATTGACTCTATTCGCGCCAAATAATAAACGTTTTATTGCATCAAAAAGTTAAACTCATCGATAACATTAAAATATATTTTTTAGTATTGAAACTTAATTGAAATGACATCAATTGGAAAACTAACATAGTACATTTGTAATACTTTCAAAATAAAAAGAAGTATTCCAATATTCTAATAGTAATTGTCCACGGTAAAAAAAGAACAGAGATTTGCTAAAGTTTTCATAAAGGGGGCCAAGTTTTGAACGTCTTTGTCGTAAAAAAAATAAAGTATTACATGTTTTATCATATTGAATCAAATTTAAAAGAAGAAACAGACACTGAGCGATAGAAAAGAAAATAAACATTTGATTAAACATTTTGCTCGTTAAATAAAGTGAAATAAATAATTAAAAAATATAAAACATTCAATTAAATAATTAATTAATCAAAAATCGCTTAATATACAATACAAAAAATAATGCTATAACGATATTACAATTGCTGTAATTAAGAATAAAAGAAAATGATTTTATAAAACGTTCGCGTTACCATAAACGAATTTAATTCGTTTAATTAATTTTTTTGTTTAATAATAAACGGGATCTCTCTTACTCTAATATTAATTATAAATAATACTTACTTAAATAATTTATATACAAGTATATGTAAAACCAAACAAATACACACACATATGCATAAACATTAAGAAAACTTGCAATAGTTTTTATCTAAATATCTTAATCGATATAAATTGTGCAAAGCCAAAAATATTTTTGACAGAAAAAAAAACAAGATGCATTATAATCTGGAATAGTCGATTTAAAAAGAAAAAGAAAAAAGGTAATGACCTTGAAATATTTATTGTCTATCTAACGTGTTATAATATTTACGTAATACTGACGATATGCTACGATGATCGTTAATCAACTATTTAACAATTACCATACTGCGTGATTTAATGATCACTTTTATCGTCGATATTATAATAATAGTAATAATAATTAATGAATAATATTGAATAACATTAATATTATGGAACGGAAAAAGAGTAGTTTCAATCTGTACAGTTACATATATATTATACATAGATATATGTATTATTCACGATAAGTGCAGACACATAAAATACACACACATCCTTGTATGTAGTTGTAATGTCGATAATTAAAAAAATTAAAATTAAAAGTAGAAACTTTTGAAGATTTATTAATAAAATAATAATAATAATAATAATAATAATAATAAAATTTAAAAAAAGAAACAACAAAAGAAGAAGAAAAAGAAAGAAAATTGTTGATTCTTGGTATTAAAAAAAAACAAACAAACCGAAGGAAAGACGGAGAAAAAAATTAATAAAGAAAAGAAAATAAGAATTATTATAAATTGCGATTGTCTTTGCTGTACAGTAATGAAATTGAAAATTAGAACTGTAAGGTAATCGATGATGACATAAATTTTAACGAAAAGAATTATTAATAACACGTGATTTTTATATTCTACGTTTTATTGTTTACATTTACATACGTGTACTCGCAAATATTATTTCCTTCTAGTCTCTGGCTTAATTGTAAAGATAAAAATACATAAGAGAGAGAGAGAGAGAGAGAGAGAGAGAGAGAGGAAGAGAGAGAGAGAGAGAGAGAGAGAGGAAGAGAGAGAGAGATAGATAAAGAAAGATATTATAAATGTAAAAAAGTGAATCGATATTTAAAATGCTTAATATAATACTTTTTCCAAATAATGCACAAACACAAAAAAAATCTTCATCTGGATTCGAACATCTATGAGATATAATATTAAATATATATAAAATAGAAGATAACATGTATGTGTGTCGTATTCTCGAATAAAAAATATTCGAGGAAAAACAATACACCGATGAATATAATAAATTAATTATTAAAAAAAATTAACAATTAGATTTATAATATAAGAAAAAAAAAAGAAAATTATTTGTGAAATCTATGTAAAGAAGAGAGAGTCTTCTGTTTTAGGAACTTTACTATTAAATGATTAATTGATTGATTGAAAATATTTAAAATAATTATTTTCAAACGAGATATTTTAACTCCTTACTTAGAATTAATTCGATGTTTACATATAAAAAAAAGTAATCGAAAAAGTTGAAGAAAATATAATACAAATCATTGATAGAAGATAAAAATAATTGAAATTGTAACCTATACAAGCTGCGACTATTTGAGATTTGTTTCATTTTTTGTGCGATCTATAATTATTTAATTATTATTAAAAAATACATATATGTCATATATTTCTTTTTTAATTTTTTATTGAAATAAGTTGTAACAAAAGCAACTTAAATTAATCGATATAATTTAAAAAAAATAACGAATTTAATGAACGAGAAAAACAATAATGATAAAAAAAAAGGAAAAAAGGAAGGACAATATATTTAATTATTTTTTATTATTTATTGTATAAAAAGATTTTTTTTTCACCAGAATAATTATCGTACATAATTTCCTTTCGTTTTTACTGTGAAAAACAAGTTGTAAACAATTGAAGTATATAAAATTTGAAATATAAAATACACATATATATAAATTGCGGTATACATTTTGCATCCACCATTTTGTTTAGGGGAAATAACAAAAAAAGGAAAGTCCAAAAAAAAATATATATATATATCTATCGAAAAGCCTCGTTCTTTCGTGTTAGAAAGAAGAGTATTAAAAATAAGAAATAATAATAATAATAACNATAATAATAATAATAATAATAATAATAATAATAACAATAATAATAATAATAATAATAATAATAATAATAGTAATAGTAATAATATAATAAATGAATTCAAAATCAATCTAGCATCATTTTATTATCGTTATCATCATTACTATTATTATTATTATTATTATCATTATTATTATTATTGTTATTATTTCATATATTCAATTTGTTATTTAAAATATATTTTCTACCTAAAATAAATTAGAGAAATAAATACAAATAGTTTGCTTCTACCTAAATTCATTGCAAATTTTGAGATTCTTATATATTGATCGTAAGAGATTCGAAATTCAAATTTTACGATTTAAGTGGCATAATTAGAAAGAAGGGGAAGTAAAGGAAGGAGGGAAAGGAACAAGGAAAATTAGAACTTTCTTCGCGATAAAAGGAAAGCTAAAAAACAAAGATGGATGTGAAAGATGAAGAGAAAAGAATAAAAATCACCTAAGAAAATCTACTAAGTGTGTGTTCGTGTGTGCGTGATTCGCCGAAATAAAAGTAAATTATAAAGATAAACAAATAAATAAATAGAATATAAAATTAAAATATAAATTTATCAACAAGAGAAACGAAGAAATTGTACGTTCTCTTCTTTTTCTTCTTATTATTAAAGACTTTTCGGATTGATTAGATTAAAAAAAATAAAATGTTGGAAAAATAATGACGAGAGACGATTGGAAGTGATATGAAAGTCTCATTGCATCAAGATTCGTTTACGTTCAAACTAAACGTTCGAACGCAACGGCGAACTTGTGCTTTTGAATTAGTGTATCTGTGACTCTGTGTGTGTAGTAATAGTTGTAGTTGTAGTAGTAGTAGCAGTAGTAGTCACACTTGTTTCGTTGGATTGCGTCCTAAGCGCGGGAAAGAAGAACACGTTCGAATATCCTTTTGATCGCGTTCTCGTAAAAAATAAGTACGCAAAAGGGTTTCAATTGGAAAGTACCCTGGGTTAAGCAACGACTTGCGACGTTGTATCAGGAAGTTGCGGTTAATATGGCGGTTACCAAGCTTAGGGCTGCACCAGTCATTACAAGACTTCTCCAAATCGCATCGCTAGTTTCTTCGGCAACTGGGTACTCTTCGCAAAGTTGTTCCTAGAAAAAGCAATGTTCAAAAATCAAGAATATTTTTTATTAATTAGCCGAAAGAAAAAGAAATAACATATCGGGTTTGAATTATAATTTAAAATTATAATCAGCGATACACTTTTAGCGTCGATATATTTAAAATTTAATACAAAGTAGTTAAGCTAAAAAAAAATTCCCAAGTTTGTCGTTTAAAAAATCATCTAACAATAAGTTATTTCGATTTATTTTTTACAAAAATAATTACCCATCCCTCAAACGAATGAATATAGATAAATATCTGGCTCTTGTATTACAATTATATGAGTCACATGATAGAGATGGGGATGATAAGTTGAATTAAAACTCACCCATCCGTATTCCTTGATAAAAATAGCAATTTCGTCAGCGATATATCTTGAGATATATATCGGCAATTTCTGCTTTAGTGTTGTCATCCTCCTATCCCTGGCCCATAATGCAAGTCTTCCCGTAAAAGTGTACAAACAAACAATTTTCGCCCACGTAACACCACGAATGAACAATTCGTCAGCGACTATGCGAAAAGTTTCGTAAGCGGTATCAGGGCTAACGTTTAAACGGTTGACCATACTTGTGAATAATATACTGTGCTTGTTCAGCATCCGGTATACGTTATGCCGCATGCTGCGAGATATCGGATCTCTTGATATACGATAAATGTCTTCCTTCAAGAGATAGCGTATCACGTCGTTTGCCAAACACTCGGCAGTATATTCAATCGAGTTCTCACAGAGTCTGTATCGAGGGGGTGGTGTCAATTGTGGGAAAAGGTATTGCAGTCGTATCTGCAATAAATAAATTCAATTCAAAAATATATTACACGAAATAAGAAACATCAGAGAATGTGTGTGTGTATGTTGCCTAATTTCATTATCTTTTGCATTATATATTCTCTATCATATATTTAATATATTTTCTAACAACTTTTGAAATTTCTTTTTCCAAAGCAACGAATCGTGTGCCAACACAACATAGTTCGTATATGTTCGTGCTTTCTCCCTCGCTCCCTTCTCTTTCTTTCTTTCTTTTTTTTTTTCTTTTTTTCTTTCTTTCTTTCTCACTCGAGTGACCGCGAAATGTACTGACTTTCGAGGTCACGAGTATTGCCTATCGATTCTCTCTTTTGCCTCGACAATGGTAGATTAACGCTGGCAACGGGAAAGAGAAAAAAAAAAACTAGGGGGGTTGAACAAAAATACGAATACATAGGATACATAAAAACATATTGTATGCATACATATGTATATATATATATATATATTTACATATATACATTACCTGGCACATTTCGATAAAAGATATAACACTGGTAGCAGTCCGTATGGCATATCTGTATATTATCCCTCCTCCTTCCCCTTCACTTCCATCCCTTTCATCAAGTTCCTGTTCAGACTCTTCCTCATCTTCATAGTCCTCGGCTTCGTTGGAGACAGTGCCGGCAGCGGCAACTACGGCGCTGCAGGCTTGCTTGCTCGGTGAATTCCTGTTACCGGGTGGATCGCATTCCAGAATGCCGCCCACTCTGGAATGCGGTTCTCCCCGCGCTAACGTACCCCTTACCTCCTCTTCCTCCTTCGCGAAGATCTCATTGTTCGTCTTCGGCGCTCCTTCGTCGCCGGCCATTCTTCCCTCTTTTAATTTTTTTTTCTTCTTCTTCTTCCTAACGTTTAATTTTCTTCCTCCCTCTTTCACTCTCTCTCTCTCTCTCTTTCTTTCTTTATTTTCTCTCTTTTTAATTCTCACGCGCGAATATCTCTCACAGTACGTCTCCTCTCCTTTCGTCGATCGTTAATCCTTCCTCTCATAACAAAATTATAATATATGAAATAATAGTTTTTCTACCACTTAACACCAAACCAAATATTTTTCAATATGTCAGATTAAACCGGCGCGCGCGTGCGCGCACAACGAATTATTGTTGGTAATCTTCTTAGTTTCTTCTCGTCAAAAACCTCGAGCCCGTGTTGTTCCTCGTCGTAGTTCTCGTCGTCGTCATTCGCCGGCCGACGAAGCGCTCTCTACGTTCCCGCGGCCATTTCCAAAGCCAGGCATAGCCGCTTAATCCCCCACCACTTGGCAAAGTTCGTGCCGCGATTCTACCGACCAATCGGAATACTCCGTGTACTCTACAGCGCCGCCGCACGCACTCACACTAATATCCCCCCACCCCTTTTTTCGAGTATCTATGGATCATTCAACATTTCTCCCCACCACTAGCGCCCTCGCCGCCGTATTCGGCACGCGAGAGTCGTGGCGCCACCTCGCCCCTCTTTACTCCTCCCTCGACTCTCGTCGCGTACACACGTGCGGCTTGTATTTCTCGCTCTCGCTCTCTCTCTCTCTCGATAGATAGATAGATAGATAGATATAAGTTTATATTCTGTTCTCTCTTTCGTGCTAGGGTACTTTTCTTCCTCTGTGTTTGTGTGTGTGTGTTAGTACACGTGTCTCTGACTCTCTACTACTCTTTATATGTAGAGTTTATATCGGTGTGGCTATATGTATGTATGTATGAATGCATGTATGGATGGTGGTATACCCCCCGAACAGAGAGACAGGATACTGTGAGAATGGAATTTTCGAGGAGATCGCAAGAGACGTTCTCTCTACTTTACTCGTCTCGTTACTTCCCCTTCTATTTCTATACTCTTCATTGTATTCCCTTGCTAACGGGATATTACGAGGAAAATGTTAATGGCGTTCACTGCCATGGTAATTTATTCTTTTTTTTTTTTTTTTTAATCAATCTATAATACCTTTTAATTATTCTTCTTTTTTTTTCTTCTTTTTTTCAGATTTAATGATACAATTTGTATATCTCCTTATAAATATTTTATTATTATTTCATTAGAGTATATATTACAATTTTATAGATATGTATTTTATTTAATGTTGGAATGATCATAAGAATTTTTTCACCCCCATAGGAAAGATCTTTTTTGATCGAAAGATTTCCGTTTATGGAAAGTTGCGCAACCATCTGAGCTCCTTTAGGAAATGCTCGATCTTTGACTCTATCCGGTATATACAAACACACACACACACGCACATACAATCATACATACATAGGAAGTATATAATACAGCAGTGTTTATAAACCTCGAGAGAACGTGCTCCTTTCTTCGGTGAAAGTCAGTTCAATGAATCGTTATATCGAATTTGAAGATTTGTCCAAATCTTGACTTGGTTCCCGTAATATTACATACAATCCTTTCGTTACAAGAAATAATAACTCAATTATTGTTGGAATAGGAAATATGAAAAAATTAATATACAGTATTACTTTACTCTTTATTTTTTTTTTTTTTTTTTTTTTTTTTTTTAAAAAAAAAAAGAATTTATTATACAGCAAGTCTGATCGATGTTCTCGTTCATGCTGGATCACCTAACAACAACCGTCTTGGTTACATACTCGATTCTTGCAAAGCCGCTTGGTGCAACCTTCAAAGGCCACCGGAGAACGCGTCGATGAATGAAGTAGGAAAGTTGCGGAGTGCCACGCTCAAAGACCGGATATACGTATACTAGGTGGCCAAGAATAAGCGTCTCGCCGAACCAGTTTTAACTTTGCCAACGTCATGTCCGTCTCCGATATGATTATCCTTAGATCGATATCTCGCCTGCTTACATCACTCTCTCGTGTTCGAAAGTTAAACTGTTGTCTTTCTTTTTATTTCTTTTCTCATTTGTTTTTTTTCCCCTTTTTTCTTTTTTCTTATTGTTGTTCTACTTCGTAATTCCCTTAGCATACACGTCATTAAATTTCATAACCGAATTCACACATTTCCCATCTCATTTATATATTATATATATTTTATTTATTTTATTTATTAATGTGGTTATTCTCTCTCTCTCTTGACCAAGGATTAAGGAATTAATACAAAAGTTAACAATGATCGATGGAATTAGACTTATCGAGATCTTATAAGATATAACGGAGAAAATGTTTTTGCAGCCCTGGATTTATAAAACATTTTTCTGATAATAAAAATAAATGTTTATCGAAAACAATTATTGGAAATATATATATATATATATATATGAATATAATTTTACCATGTATTAAAGATAAAGATATAATATTCGTATTTATTTTTTATTTTTACTAAAATTAAGTTACGCATCCCCCCCCCGCTCCCACGGGGTCGCGATCCACATTTTAGAAAAATCTTGTTACATTATCGTTAATTATTTTTATTGTTATTAACACATTTTCAGTTTTAAATATTTTCAAGGACAAATATTGTGTTAAACTTGTTTATGTTTTGTATGTTTAATTTCAAAATTATTTATATATAATACATAGGGACATAGAATCTTTTGTAAGACGATTCAATATTGTTTTATATATTTCTAATTTAATATACAATATGTAGATATGTATATAGATACGCGTTAAATGTTTGTGTGTGATTAGATAATAAAATAGTCTTATTTTACAGTGTACAACTATTCACTTTCAAATTCATGATTTTAAAGTTGAAAGTTTCACCGCTTTGACACGTAGCATAGCCATACATCCTATCTAACTCTAGATACATAGATTATCATAGATCTAAACTACTAAGTGCAGGTCATAGCGAGGCGTACTTTACCGGTCGAGGGTCAAATATTGCGATCGAGATGTAAAATACAAATTAAATAAAAATTTATTCCAATTTTTCAAAATGTTATTAAAACGTATATGTATACTATATAACGTTAAACATACTTTCTATGATAAAAATCGATTGTTCACTTAAATCTCTTTAGTTTACTCTAAATCATTTATTTCTAAAAAGAAATTTCCAAAAATATTATCTATCGCGTTGATAAGTATAACGATTGTAATATCCTAATATATGATCCTCTAATATTGTTTTAAATAATAATCATATATTTACATTATTAAAGTATTAAATTGAAACATTTTATTTTATTTACGGTTACAAAAAGAAATTACTTTAGAGGAATCATGAAAATAATCTCATTTTCATTTTGATAATACTCGATTTTATTAAGATAATTAATATTAAACAACACGGAAAAATAGTATGCAAATTTGAAGATGTTAAAATGTGACGATTGAACATTGATTAAAATTTATTGTAGTAAAATCTTGAGCTGAATATGCTGAGATAAGTTTAGACGTTGAATAACACGTAGAATTTCGTCTCACCGTGTATGAATGCTTCAGGCGATAGCGTTTCTCAATGAACCTCTCTCCCTCTCTCTCTTTCTCGTTATTTCCCTTTCTCAACCCGAGAACATGCTACGACTATAAGCCGATGAAATTCCTGAGTTCTCTTGTGGTATGCCAACGATTTTCTTCTTCTTGCTACGATATCACTACCAAAATGTCTTTTTTATTATCTTCGATTTAAATGAAAGTAAATGATTAAAAGAAAAAAAAAAAAAAAAAAAAAGAACAAAAGAAAAAACAAGGAAAAGAAAACAACTTAATTTTCCATAATCATACAAATAATTATATATATATTAATGTTATTATATCATAGTATTTAATTGCACACAATTTATATCGTATAAGAAATGTTACAAATTTCGAGAGATAATGAAGTTTCAATTAATTTTCATTTATATTTATTTAATTGGTATTTTGTACATTTATTTGATCAGTATTTATATCAGAGGTGGTGTTTTATTAGGATTACACATTGATACAGGGTACATATTTTAGGAATGATAATGTTATTTAAAATAACGAGGGGAACAAGTACATATTCGTAAGGAACAAATGAAGATAACTTTAGTTTAAAAGTGTCGATGGTAAATAGCACCCATTTATTTGTTGATAATAAAATAAAATATTAAAAGAAACATATTCGTATTTGTTAGGTGTACATGCGTATTATTTTAAAGTTACAAGATTTTTATTTATAGAGAGAGAGAGAGAGAGCTAATTTAAGTATTTACGTATGTACTTAAATACTTAAGTATACTTACTTACATTAGATGACCTCGTAACCAACGATCTTATTGCAATTCTCTTAAAATATAGCACGCAGGTGCAGCTTTGCAATGATTGCACGATTATAGACACTTGAAGGCATCACTCTCTTTGCCCCCCTTCTCTCTCCCTCACTCTCTTTCTTTTTTCTTACCTTTCTATACCAAACTCGGAGAGAGATTTACAAAACGAGAGGTATTAGAACACCGTAACCGGACATGGATAAATTGGCGAACTGACTCACGTGTAGATGACATCTAATTGGGTCATTATCTCACACTGTCGTTGTCGTTGCTTCTTAAAGTACGTTCGAATATCGCACGAGGGGAGAATTCGATGTTACTCAATTCTTCCAAATCATTGCATTAACTTTTTTATTGTTTTATTTTAAATAATATCGAGAAGAGAAGATAATATATCGTCGAGTGATATAAATTATGATTACATCATGAAATTCATGCATTTTCATATTAAATAATGTTAGTTACAATTAATTAATATGAAATTCAAAAATTTTCTCACGTGTTAAATCAATAATTTGGAGAAATTATTTGATTAGTTATTGTGTGTGAAAAGTTTTATAATTACAAAAAAAAAAAGAAAAAAATATAAACGTCTTAAGTAATAAAGCAAGACAAACAAAACTTGTTGATAGGTGTTCAAATATTAATTTATTTTATATTTTTTACATGTCAAAACGGAACGTTCCGTTGACATGCATTATTATATATATATTCTTATTGATATTTAATTTTAATTTTATTTTGTCTTCAGTCTTGGGAATAATAAGACATTGTGAAGCGAGAGATATCGTTAAGATTGATCGAGTATTGTTTCTTTCTCAAGCGAAATAAGACCGTGGGAAATTTGAATGAGAGAGAATCGGTCGAGCACAATATTTCAGGGCAACTCGTGGCCATCCGTGGTCTGGGTAGCTTTTCTTACCGTCATTCATGATACTATAGTACGGCAATAGGATGATTGCCCTGACGGTCGCTCTGACTAAAGTGGATAAAGTCTTCTACAGTAATTTTAGTTTAACAGGGCGCTGAGGTACCGAGGTTTAGCCCTTCACCGATAATCCCATTCCCCCTTACCTTCCTCCTCTTAATTCTTATTTTATTTTTACTCGAATATTGAATGATTATTTTTTAAATCATTAATATTATTATAATCAAAAAATGTATCATTTTTTTCAATATTATACAAATAATACTTGATATATTAAATGTTAAAATATATATCATATGTATGCATACAAACATAAAATATGTGAGATTATGTTTTCTAGCATTCATGTAAGCATGCATGTAATTATTAACTTTTACGGTGCATATTATTCAGTTCCATATAATGATGGATATATACGTTTCTGTCAATAACCTGTACATTTCTCCATGAATACAAAATTCCATTTATTTTTCTTTTCGATACTATAGCATGATTTAGATAATTGGAATAATTTTGATGTTTAGATAATTAGAATAATTTAGATATTTAGATAATTGGATACACAATTTTCTTTAGTTCCTGATATTTTTTTTTTTTTCTTCTAATATAAAAATACGTATTATTCGCGTGCGTGCGAGTGTTCAGTTATCTATTGGTAAAAAATACAGTTCAATGATTAAGTTCATTAAGTATAATTTTGATATTCGTGCAAGTAATTTGTTTTAATTTTCCCGTTAGCAAATCGTTCCTATTATTATTTTTCTTCAAAAATGTTCTTAAAGTATTGTAAATTTATATAAGACACATGTGAACAAAATAAAATAATATTAACAAAATAAAAAACCTATAACTTGTACGCAAGTGTGTAATGTAAATAGCAGATAGTGTATAGACATTCAAATTTGTTTTTATACAGTCCTTTATTGTGCGATTTTTTTTGTATCATTAGAAATTGTTGCGCTAGCACACATGACATCGTCGTCAGAAGAAAGTTTCAATACTTTCAATATAATTGACATTGTCGAATCACGACGAAATTGTAATAATAGTGACATTATAAATTACGTAACAGATCCTATTGATGATCAAGAAGAACCCAATTCTATGACAGAAAATAACATCTATGCAGAACACCAACTTTACAGCAAATTGGAAAAAACCATATTCTTGAAATCGATATCAATTCTGAAAGAGCTTGAAAATTCCATAATGAGATTCGATCTTGTACGTCTGGTTATAACGACATATTATAATACAAGCGGTAAATAAAACAACCGTCGACAAAAAAGTCAACTGATTACGTATGCAAGGCAACATCTTCAAATAACGTAAGTGATTTTAAACTAATTCTCCGAATGATAATTCTGTTCTTTATTAACAAAAATAATGTTTATATAACGTATACACATTGTACATTTTCGTACGTTTAATATTATATAATGTATAAATAAAATCAAATATTTATAAAACTATTTCTCCACCCTCTACCCCACCCGTGCGTAAATTAATTTTTGTATTTTGTTTTTGTGAAAGAAAAAAACAACAACAATTTTTCAGTTACATCCGATACATGAGATTTTGTGTTACATTTTATGCGAGACGGTGTTATTTCTTTTTCTTTTTCGTACGGTCTTTTTTTTCCCCCTCTCCACCCCTTCTTCCCACCCCTCGCCTCACTCCCACCCGGCACAAAAACAGCTTTGAACGTATGATGATGTATCGTGTCAATCTGTCGTCGTATGATGACGATTCAAACTCGGTGATTCTCGAGCAGATTGACAGACGTACTCGGTCGAGCGTACGGCAAACTGACCCCTCAGTTCGCGATAGTGATGTAGTTGTCTTTCTATCGACGCCTTGGCAAGTTGTGCCGTGTGATTTTTTTTCTCTTTCTATCTCTCTCTCTTTCTCTCTTTCTCTCTCTCTCTGTCTCTCTCTCTCTCTCTCTCTCTCTCTCTGTCTGTCTCTCCTTCTCTCCATCTTTTTTTCTCTCTTTCTTATTCTTTTAATTTGTTTTTGTATTTTTTCTTGTTTGCATTCTGTTTTTAATTCGTCTTCCTTTAGGCAAATATTATTAACAATATAAGTGCATTATATTAATAAAAGTGACATTGAAGGAGGAAGTGTCGATAGTCGAAGATAAACCCCACCCCTCCCCCCTCTACACCCCTCCGAAAGAAAAAAGAGAACTAACATCAAATATACGATCATCAAACATAATATCGCATTAAGACTAGTTGCGATTCGTTCAATTAGATTCGACTGATTTCAGATTTTCATCAGAAGCGAGGTTTTATTATGATTAGGTGAGTTTAATTTAATCTTCGTTCTTTTTTTCTTTTTTCTTTTTTGTTTGTTTGTTTCTTCTTCTTCTTCTTCTTTTAGTTTTACTCGAAATTTTCTTATACTCTCGTTTGAAAGCAACAAATTGATGTTATTTAGTTACAAATATAAAATGTTATTAAATTTCGGCATTTTTTTTTTGCTTATTAACAATTCTTGGTTAATAATGTGTTATAAATAATACGTAAATAATATAATATTTTTAATAATAGCATGGAAATTTCGACACTACTATACATGGACTGGTTAAAAAGTTCTGAACTTCAAATCAAATTTACTTTTATTATCAATAAAATAAGTTTTCTTTTTATTGATGTTCAAAAATTTTAAATCCACCCTCTCACATAAACTAATTTAATAAATTTGATCACTTTACTCCTGTTTTTAAATATAATATATTTAATATCATAAAATTATATATTTTTTTTATGTTTATGTATATCTAGAGATATTTTCAAACATTTTGTTTTTAAGAAATAGAAATGCGTTTACTTTTTCTTTAAAACGATAAATGCGAATCGTGTGACCAACTGTTCAATTGTTAAGAATACGTGTCTAGAAACGTACTATATCTAAGCACTTCTAACTATGAGCTTTTTCGCGTTATGCTAAAAGGATTTGAATATGAGTTTTATACCTACACACTTTTATACATGAATTATGTATACACGAGACGATATGTAATATTTCTATTTATCGTTCAATTTACATCTACGACACGAAACGTGATAATTTATCTTAATCAAATTCTATTTTTCTATATATGTATCCAATGTTTCATTTATATTTTATTTTTAACACACATTTTTTTACATATATAATATATAAATTCGATCGATTTCAATAAATTATTATTTTATTTGGTTCGCGGGCGATGTAAGATATCGATTAGATTTATTTTCTGTTTTTAAATATTAAACAACAATTTAATAATAACACAACAAAAGAAAACTGATATGTGTACTTATGTACACGCACGTAAGAAGTTATACTTCTTTAGCGTATCAAAACGAATATAACCTCGATAACCTGAAAAATAACTTCAATATGCCCGCGCATCGTAAATATCGAAAACTTTGTGATGTCGATTTTTCGGTCGCATTTAACTTCACTTTCCAAAACGTGCCAAAAGAAGTATAACTTCAAAAAAAAAAAAACGCGTATAAAACTCGTCCGATACATTTTTACATTATTTTTTTTGTTTACACAAGTTAAAATATATCTTAAAGAATTTGCGAACGATATTTTATGAATGAAAATAATGAAAACAAAAATTATAATCTATAATATGGTATATCTGTCAAAAAATTCTCTCATATTCTTTTATATTACGTTACTCTTTGATAGAGAGTATGCGAGTATGATGGCGTGGTCGGTAGTACTGGTACGTCAACGCATTGCTAAAATGCTTTCTATTATCCCGCTAAATCAGCTTATAAAGCCTGATAATGAGCCGCGTGAATTTCAAGCGGAGATAGTTGGCCTCCTCGTTCAAATGCGTCCGTATCAAGCTGCATTATGATCGTCGTAATACTACGTTATCTATCTCTATCTCTTTCTTTCTTTCTTTCTTTCTTTCATTCATTCTTCCAGATGAAAAGATTTCCATTTCATTACTTTCAACATTATCAATCTATACGTAGTTATTATTATTATTATTATTATTATCATTCGATAGTGTTAAATAACTGTTGACACAAAAAAATAACCAAATATTATTCAAATTTCAATCATTATTATTGGTTTTTTTATTTTGTCATATTATATCGATTTATTTCTTATTGATGGTATATTAAAAAAGTATCTACCTTCAACATTAGCTATCTTCTATACGTACTCGTTCGATCGTAAAAAATAAATCTTGTTAAAAGAAAAGAAAAGAAAAGAAAAGTAATACAAATATTTGTTCAAGGAATTTTATGTAATTCTTCTTTTCTGTGTGTAGAAATTATTTATTAACGTTAACGAAAATATATCGATTACTTGAAATGAAATTAAGCTTGATGGAAAGTATTTTTTTCTTTTACTTTCTTTTTTTTTTTTTTTATCGACAACGAGAGTAAATACGCAACATATGAAAAGATAAAAGACCCCCCAAAAAATGAGGTTTGTTCAAGAAAATAATATAACGTATGCGTACGATTAAATAAACGGCAAGTAAATTTGTTATTTAAAAAACGATCTAATCACAAATAATACATCGAAAATCTTTCATAGAAAAATTAATATAATAATAGAAAATATATTGTATTAAATATAAAATATAGAAATTAGTAGAGAGGGTTGGGTGGTATATATGCGTATATAAAAGATACGCATTATTACGAGATAATGCGCAGGTCTATTTGAAAAGCGAGAAGAAGAATAAGTATAAGAAGATTATCCGTGCTAATTTCACGCGTGATGAACACGCAACAGTGCTGGCTGAACTCCGAATAAAAGAAGTTGAAAACAACGCTGCCCACGCGCATGCGGTTATTGCGTATGATTTATTACACCGAGTATATATATATGTATATGTTATACTCGGGTATATATATATATAAATAATGCCTTAAACTAACGTTGTAAAATCATTCTTCGCTAGCACGATTATACGAATAACTTTAATAACGAGAGACAGAGAGAGAGAGAGAGAGAGAGAGAGAGAAAGAGATTCAACAGGCTACGAAGGTTAAAGGTTTGTAAGTACTATATTAACACCCCTGATGATCGCGTGCGTGTGTGTATTTGTATGAGTTAACATCCTTAAGGTTAAATATAAATTTTATCCGCATCGATTATTACCAATCGAAAAAGTTTTTCATTTATGTCGAAAGATAAGAAATTAATGTTTTTACTCTCATTTGCATTTGATTTCGAATGTTTTTTCACACAATGATAAATGTAATCTTTTTCTTTCTTTTTTTTTTTTTATCATTCATACGCGGAGGTATTTTTATATTTAAGTAAATATTGTGTTCTTTTTATAAATTAACGAACCATTCGAAAGAGACGTGTTTGTGTTCTTTAATTATATAAAAATAAAATAAAATACATAAGTATAACGATTTTCTTATCAGAAGATTTGGATTATTATCAAAAATATTAAAAAATAATCACTCACACACACGCACATATACGAGACTCGTGAGCTTATATTCTTGTTGCACGCAGAATAAAATTCAAAAGGAAAGGAAAAGAAAAAAAGAAAACAAGAAATAATCATAAATCGTGGACGTTCCCTCTTTTTTTTTTTTTTTTAACGCATACCATTTGATACATTTTATCATAATAAATAATTCATCATTGTCATTAATTATTCTTTTTTTCTTTCTTTCCTTTGATAATCGTACGGTTAATAAGGATAACAAAAAGAAGAAGAAGAAGAAGAAGAAGAAAGAACGATAGCAAGAGATTAAACTCGTATTCCATTATTTCCTAGAAGCTCATTTACATTTTCCAACGCTTGTATGATAATTGATAATAGTCAATGAATGGAGTTTCCTGTTCGTGCGCGTACCAAGCAGCAATTTTTGCAACAACTCGGCTCGAATGGAGTTCGTTCGTTCATACAGTATATAACAGTAGTAGAACAACGAACGAGAGGTGCTATCGAAACGATACGCAACATATTTTTGCATACTACTTGCCGGTTGATTGCCCCCCCGAGCACGTTGATGACGTCAGTAACGTTTTCGATGACTCACCTTATTATATGCGATACTGTTGGTTTACATGGAGCACATTAATAAATGCTCACACACCTTTTCTATTATGTACGTATACTCCTGTGTTTTTTCTTTCTTTCCCATTCTCTCTCCATTTGCCGTTATCGTCGGTATTTAAAAAAAGAAAAAGAAAAAAAAAACACACACATTTGACAAGTGGTATCAATACGCTGATTTATTGTCTCACAATTTTTATTCGATTTAATAAAGTTACTTTATTTTTTTTTTTTCTTGATTATTGTATTCTTTTACTTTTTTGTGTATTTAAGTGCTCACTTTTAATTAATAAATAGTATTTTAATTTATCATAATAATTACATATGAGAGCAAAATAATCGATTATATTGGGATAATAAATCATTGGTTATAATGACGTTCCATGCCTTCGCCAGTTAAACAAAGATGACAGAAAGTCGTATGAAGTTTGTTGATGATGTCTGACAAATTTTTCTATCTATATATCGTTCTCTTTTTATTCCCCAAGGCTGTATTTAAATCAGACTTAAGACAGCTAAATGATAAGGTGACATTAAAATCATAACTCGTAGTGGGATCGTTCGAAATATGTAAACTGTTAAATGTAATGGTTATAACGATACTTTCGAGAATTTTGAGTCATCGATCAGTATACAGATTTTAATTGCAATTCATCTTTACCACGAATATTAATTTACGGTTTAAGAGCATTAAAAAATGCAAACCTTTGTTTTCTTATATTTGCTTATATCAAATTTCTATATTTTATATAAGATAATTTTTTACAATGATATATAATACTAGTTCGATACAATACAATAAAGTATAAATTTTGGGGGGTTACATTTAAAAAATTAATTTTTTTTTTTCTATACGCGTATGCCAAAAATTACGGTGCTGTTTTACCGACAGCGTTTTGGAATATTCCACGAGTTTATTAGCAATTGAAATTTTTCTCTTACGTACTTTCATGTGAGTATATTTTTTGTTCTTATCTAGCTTAATCATAAATTAGAATTTTTAAATCTCAATTATCCTTGAACGAATTTATATTTAGTTGAAATTAACAGTTACTTCTCAATCGACAAAAATATATTTTATAAAATAATATTCAAGTCATGTGAGAGTATATAAATGATAAATAAAAGAGAGAAGAAATCGATGGAGAAGAAACATCGTTTAGTTTTTTTTCGCGAAAAAGATAGACGCCAAGGCGTAAATTGAAAGGATAAACATTTTCATTAATTTAGGAACGTCTTCCTCGCACATATATACATTAATAGATATGTGTATATAAACACCCATACAAATAGATATAAGATATTCATACTAACTTGTTTCGTGTTTTCTTTTTCATTTTTTAAATCCTATAACGAGTTTGATCAAAAGTTGAAACGCTATTTCGCGAATAATAACGGTGATTCTCTCAAAAAAGTATTAGTATAATAATAAAAAAAAAATAAAAATATGACAATCGATAATATTATAATAATATGAAAAATTCATGATGACAATCCAACAGTAAATTTCCATTAATTATCATAATCATCATCATTTATGTATATATTTAGCCGCAATTCTTTTTTTATTCTTTTAATAATTACAGACAATAAGTAATAAAGTGATATTGTGTGTGTTACACAATATAAATGATTCATAAACGCAAAAAGAGGTTCAAAAAGTGGGCTCCAATTTACAGCTTGTTAAGCCATTTGAAATCTTACGGCAAACAGTCTCAGCAATTAACACGATTTCATTCGAGTAAGATGTTTTGTCTTCGTTAAAAGTTCCTAAACTTTTATGCCAATTCAGACGGATTCGCAAAACAAAATTTCTATTTTTATTATTCACTTTCAATTTGATGCCATAGTATTTCTGTCCTCTTCTTACCTACGCATACAATATTGCATAACACAATTAATCAATCACTCTCTTCTTATCTTTTAATGTAAACCTTAAACACTTTTATCTCAAGAAAATAATATTCTTAAACGTATATACATATATACGTATATGTATCTAACAAGTTTTGTTTAAAAAAATATTAAAGAAAAATAAGAATTCTTAAAGTGTCGAAAGATGGCGGTCACACGCCATCTATTGATCATAATGGCGGCCATACGAGAAAGTTCACCGTTTCGAATAATTTTATTTCGATTTATTCGTAACGAAAGAAAAATATTTCATAAAAATTGAATATTTACAAAGATCACATTGGCACCGATCTAATTTAAACACCTCATTGACATAAAAATCTTTCGCTCATATTCTATTACATAACATTGAATCACTGTTAAAGAACAAAATATGGGCGATACTATCAAAATACAGAAACGAAATTTGTATTACATTTCGAACCTTACTTCGTATTTTCAATTATTTTTAACGAATAATTTATAACCATTAAAAGGAAGACACGTGCAAGAGTTTACCAAGGTTACAAATAATGATAACACGAAGCAAAGAACTGCAAAGAACACCAGCAGGCAAATGGCAATTGCAAATATGTTCGAGTAAACAAACGTCTTTTAAAACGATTCATTATCATCTCTTCATTCTTTCTCTTTTTATTGTTTCTCATTTTTAATTTTTATTTTGTAAAGTTCTCGATGTTATAATTATCTCCTTTTATGTGTTAAAGTCTATAAATCATATCGATCTTTCTTTCTAACATACTTCCAAGTTTATAAATCTAAGCGAGTAATTTTCCAAAAAACACAATGATATATTCCATACATAAAAACAGAAGAAGTAGAAGAAGAAGGAGAAAAAGTAGAACTACGAATATCATCTCGTTTATTTATTTTCTATTTTAAATTATACTAAACCAAATTATTCTTGTATTAGTTATAAAGTAATTCTCCAATGATTTGTTACCATCACAAGGATCCCAAAATTAATGTTGATATAGTG